CGTTTTAGCCGTTTTTACCCTTTTACTACGTCTCGGTTCTTCATTAGTACCCTCTGGTACAAAACCACTAGCAGTTTCATACGTTCTTTTATTAGAACTAGATTCTGCCCTTTCCTTCATAGGAAAAACATTCTCAAAGAATATAGCATTCCTTGACTCAATCGTGGTACCAACAGATACCTTTGGATTTTCTGATTTATGAACCAGAAATCTATATGTTGTACTATTGTACGCATATCCAATAAATACACAATCGACCGTCTTTGGCCCGATTCTCATTTGTTTTGGTTCAGGTACTGAAACCTTAGCCAAACACCCCCACACTTTCAGGTATTTATAAGACGGCTTACGATTTTTCCACATTTCGTAAGGAGTCTCATTTTTCCCTTTAGGTGGTATTTTATTCAGGATATGATTTGCTGTCAAAACAGCTTCCCCCCACATGTTATGTGGTAATCCTGAATTAATCAACATGGCATTCATCATTTCTTTTAACGTACGGTTCTTGCGTTCAGCAACACCGTTCGACTGTGGAGAATAAGGGGCTGTCGTTTGATGAATTATGCCATATTCAGAACATATTTGTTCAAAAGGAGCTACATACTCTCCACCCCTATCACTACGGATTATTTTCATCCTTTTGCCGAGTTGATTTTCAACTTCGGTCTTATAGATCTTAAACGCTTCCACAGCCTCATCTTTGCTTCTTAACAAATATAAGTAGCAAAACCTTGTGCAATCGTCAATAAAAGTAATAAAATATTTTTTACCCGTTCTCGTTTGCACACTTTTCATATCACATACATCAGTATGGATCAAACCCAACGGTTCAGTACTCCTTTCCACCGAGTGAAAAGGCAATTTAGCCATTTTTGCTTCAATACAAATTTCACATTTTGTATTTGTTTCAACTTTAGAATTAGGAATTAATTCTAATTTCATCAACCGTTTATTTGCATTTAGATTTACATGTCCCAATCTAATATGCCATATATCAGAACACTCAACGGTATAAACAAAAATAGGCTTTTTATTATCAACGGTTACACGTCTCACGGCCATTACATTCATTTTGAACAATCCCTTGTCGAGATAACCACGACCAAGAAATGTTCCATACTTGCTAAGAATAAACTTCTTAGCTTCAAACACCAGCCTAAATCCATGCTCAACAAGAAGTGATCCGGAGACCAAATTCTTGCGGATGTCTGGGACATGCAGAACATCCTTCAGCTTCAACTCCCTTCCAGAAGTAAGCTTCAGCACCACCGTGCCCACTCCAGCCACATCAGATGTGGAGGAGTTTCCCATGTGTAGTTTCCGACCCGTAGTAGGAGTGTATTCAGAGAACACCTCCTTGTCGGAACACACATGACGAGTGGCATCAGTATCGATGTACCACTCCCTCGGGTTATCTACCAAATTGGCTTCAAACACCACCGCCGACATATCAAAGTCGGTCAGTTCACCCGGCAGAGGGCCGTGTTCAGCAACAAGAGCACTCGATTGCCTTTTATTTGGCCCAGCTTTCTTTGGCCTCCTGCAGTCTTTCGCCATATGGTTTGGCTTTCCACAGTTGTAACAAGATCCAGTGAATTTCCAAACCTTGGCGGGTTGCTTCCCTTTGTTAAGGGGCTTCCTTTTGCTCGAATTTCCTTGCTCCAACAAGTTCGCACGAGCCTCCATTATCGGGCTTTTGCCCGACGAATTACGGTTGTCCTCCTCAATACGAAGACGAACAACCAGGTCTTCAAGACTCATCTCCTTTCTCTTGTGTTTGAGATAGTTCTTGAAGTCCTTTCAGCCTGGCGGCAGCTTCTCGATCACAGCCGCTACTTGGAATGACTCACTCAAAGTCATCCCTTCAGAATAGATATCGTGCAAGATCAGCTGGAACTCTTGCACTTGTGACACGACGGTCTTCGTGTCAACCATCTTGAAGTCAATAAATTTGTCGACGACGAACTTTTCGCCCCGGCATCCTCCGTCGTGTACTTCTTCTCCAGGGCATCCAAAAGCTCCTTGGCAGAACCAACAGAGTTGTACAAGTTGTACAACTCGTTACTAAGCCCGTTCAGGACATAGTTACGGCAAAGGTAGTCACCTTGCCCCCAAGCATCGTACGCGGCGCGTAGTTCTGCATTGGTCTCATTCTCAGAAATGACCGGAGGGTCGTCCTTCAGGTATTTCACCAAACCCAAAGTGGTCTGGTAAAAATGCATCTTTTGTTGCCACCTCTTAAAGTCAAGCCCGTTGAATTTTTCGGGCTTTTCAGTTGTAGGAACATGGACAGCAGGTACATGATTGATCGGATGCTGAGAGCTGGAACCTGCTCCGGTGGATGCCATCAGTTCAGTAGGATGACGGAATATTCTTCTTGCGAGTGTTGGAAATTTTGTGTGAAAATTACACGGGAATCCTACGAACTGATATGTATTTTCAGTTCTTACAAATAATCTAAAATAGAAAATTACAATTGAACTGAAAAATAAATTACAACTAAAAAAAACGAAAAGATTTTAGCCGAGGCGAGTAAAACTCTTTCCGCAAGAAGAATACGCCTCGTGTGATAGCTAACGGTTCAGGCGTAACTTCCCCAAAGATACAACGGCAAACGTCTCTAAATCTGTAGCACACCAGATTTACGAGCTCCGGCGAACGGGAACGGAATCGAGAATTGAGCACTTAGTAATAAAAAAAATATTCTGAAACAAATAAAAATATCAATTGTTTCTTCTCTTTTGATATTTTTATATCCGATATTTGGACATATATTTTCTTTCCTTTCCCTTTTCTTTCTTTCTTCTCTCTTTGTTTCTTTCTTTCGGTATCTTTTTTCATCTGGCCGAAGGGCCTATTTATATAGAGAAAGTGAGGGTGTACAATTATTATAGTGATCAAATTGGTCAATGATTTCACATGGCACCGAAAGAGGAATGGGTTGGAAATTGTCATCAAATGGCACACTACCCAACACTTATTTTTTTTTCTTTAATCTCAAATGGGGCGGCTGCACATGTAGGCACCGCCCCTTTTTACACTTTTTCCAACATTATGTTGTTGTTTATAAAATGCATTTTTGTGTTTTGCGTTTGATTTTCTGATTATTAGTTTTTTATTGTTCTATGTATTTGTTCAATTAGTGTGTTGCCCCAGACCTTTATTAATCTCATTTGTATATTGATCTGCTCCAATTAATTATGCCATGATATGGGTTGTGGCTGTTTTTCTTTTTCTACAACAGTGACTTTCGTTTCGGTTTTATCGGTTTAAGCCGATACCGAACCGATATATCGGTAACCGAAAAATCGGTTACCGACCTCTTATCGATTCGGTATCGGTTTAAATAGTAGTGAAACCGAAACCTATCGGTTCGGTTTTGGTTTTTTATTATCGGTTCGGTTACCGAACTGATACCAGCCCTACTACAAATCTACAAAATAAAACTAATTGCTTTTTAAAAAAACATATAGATTTTTTTGTTCATCGAAATTTTACGTAATGTGGACGTGTGAGGAAACCTACGCCCAACGATATTTAGAATCACAGTAAAAAAAAAACGAAATAAAAAAAAATAGTACTACGTGTGGGTTTTTAAAATATTACTGAATTACAAAACAACATATGAGTACCTTTGTGTGTTCACTCAGTGACGTTTCTAACAGTTAATAATTTCACTCAATGAGAGTGAGTTCTGTTAACTAACCTTATTCCTCGTTTACTAGCTTGATAGAATGGGATAAAGTTAACCAACCTTATCACTCGTTTGCTAAATAGGATTGAGATAAGGATACATATGATATGACATGAGTTGGCGGGATATGTATCCTTGTTGGTGGGATAAAAAAGTTCGATCATTATGGTGAAATTATCTTTGGTCTTAATGACCTTTATTTAATCTAAAATATTTTTATTTAAATTACAATAATATTATTTAATCTATAAAATATTTATTTATATAATTTAATTTGATTTAAAAATATTGTTTAATATAAAATAATTTAATTTAAAATAATATTATTTAATTTATAAAATATAAATTTAAATAAATCTATTTAATTTTAAATAATTTTACTTATTTTAAAATAATATTATTTATTTAAATTATATTTTAATTTAAAGATATTGTTTAATATAAAATAACTTAACTTCATTTAAAATAATATTATTTAATTCATAAAATATTAATTTAAATAATTTTATTTATGTTAAATACTTTTATTTAATTTAATATAATTTTATTTAATCTAAAATACTTTTATTTAATCTATAAACTATTAATATAAAAAATTTTATTTAATTTAAAGAATATTGTTTAATATAAAGTTATTTAATTTAATTAAAGATATATTATTTAATTTATAAAATATTAAATTAAATAATTTTGTATTAATTAAAATAATTTTATTTAATCTAGAATATTATTATTTAATCTAAAATATTAATTTAAAATATTGTTTATTTAATTTAAACTAATATTAATTTAATTTAAAAAATATTGTTTAATATAAATTATTTAATTTAATTTAAAATAATATTATTAAATTTAAAAAAAATATTAATTTAATTAATCAAATCAGTAATTTTATTCTTTATCAGATTTTTATCCCCTTTGTTAAACATGAGACAATTTTATTCAAAATCTGATGTGGCAAATTGAAGGAATTAATTTGTCCAATCTCATCATCTCTAGTAAACGAGGCCTAAATATATAGTTTATATGCTAGATTGAAGAAAATGTGAGTTCAGATGACAAAAAAAGTCCCCTAAGTTTATAAGAGAGCGAAACATCAAACAGATAATAATACATGAAAAATACGTAGAGTTCATAGAGCTGTTGAATAAAAATAAAATAAAATAGTTTATGGAAAGAATCCTACAAGCCTCTCCTTAATTCCCTATACAGCCCAAAAACATAAACATACAAATACGTATATCCTTCATCACACTACCAAACAAAAAACCCAAAATCGCACGAACTCCCGCTAGACAACGTTCCACTACCCTTGGACAGCCAGAGCTTGCAAGTGCTCGATGAACACCTGCAAGCTCACATCATCCGTGAATATAACCTCCGAACCCTCCGCATGACTAGAATTCTGCGTCACAGACGGATTCAACTTGGCAAGAAGAAACCTTGCCTGGCTCCCGTGCTGATCGCACTTTATCATCTTTGGCACCGGTATTCTTTCTGCCATGAGCTGCTCGGCATCTACATCTGGCGCCTCCAGCAACTTCCTGAAGCTCTCGTGTGTGGGGTCCCTGTCATACCCCATCTTCCTCCACTGACTGATTCTTGAACCATAGTGGATCACGACATAAAAAAACGAGTCGAAGAGCAAAATCACGTCGGTGGAGATCGAGCACACGTCCAAAACAACCGGCACGGGTGGCCCATCAAATGAGTACTGAAAAAGGGTCGGTTGCACCATGATAAGAGAGTTCACAACTCCCTCACGATTGAGCATCAGGCGGAAGTAGGCCGTCTCGTCCGGCGTGCTGTTGAAAACATCGATAAACTGGGATCGCCTCAGGTAGTACATGAACTGTGGGTAGAGGGAGAAATTGGCCGAGAGGCGGAAGGTGGACGGGTCCTCCTGCACATAGTCCCCAAATTTCGAGGCGAAGCTGATCAGGGTTTTGTCGAGCCACCGAATGACATCGTGGGCAAAGCTGTTCTCCATCCGGTGGACCGCCAGCCGGGCCATGACTGCTGCCGCCGCCTCCTGATCGAACCCGGCCGCGATCTCCGGCGAGTTTTTTGCCACCCATCTCCTGGCCACAGTGGTCACCCGTTTTCTTACAGCCCCACCAGCTTGCCTGTATCGCGTGATGAGCTGCACGAGAAAAGCGGACCCCGCCTGGGCCCTTTGCTCGTCTCCGATCTCGAAAAAGAAGGCGACACACGTCTTGCTGGTGAGCGTACACAGCTTCCAGACATGGGTCCCGCCCTGGCCTATGGGATGCTCGCTCACTGACTCGCTGATCCTACCGAGGGAGACGCAAGGACCAAGGGCCCCGCGTATTTTGACGTCCCTTGTCGTCACAATCTCGATGGTCGCGTCGAAGAACATTTCACGGTTGAATATGCGGTGCAGGCACTTGGCAAACTGCTCGGACCCGAACGACTCGGCTAGTATCATATATCCGCCCGACTGCTCGACGGGGTCTTTTAGTTCGTAGGCTCCTACCTGATCTAGAGAGCAGGCGAACAGATCGAGCACAACGGACGAGTCAGTTAGCCTGCGAGATATTTGTTTGTAGAACTCGATGGATTTCTTGTGGTGCCGGGTGTGGCCACCGTTGAGGTGGCGGTGGGTCCGGATGGGGTTGGCAAGGTCAAGGCCCACGATTGCACCTGGCCCGATAGTTGAGGGCCCCGACGTGAAGACCATCACCCTGGCGCCGGTGCTCACCGAGCAGCCTTCCAGAAGGTCCACGGCAGCAGATATGGCGGGACCCGTGGAGCGAAGGGGGCGGTGACCTGGCTCGACAGGGGGCGAAGTGTGGATGTCCTCGATTGCGGTCGTGATACTGAACTCGCACTCGGACACTGGCAGTAAAAACTCGTGTTGCCTTTGTTGCATTGGTGCCTTTCCGAAGGAGTGCTTCGTGTGATGAAGTCCCAGAAAGTGTTTGGCCTGCTCCGATGAAACCTCACGTTCGCCGTGAAACATCACGACTCTCAAACACTCCGTGAACCCCAAATCGTAAACCTTCACCATGGAGTCGAAAACCACCAGACCAACAAGAGAATTTTCCGGCAGTTGTGCAATCACGTGTAGCAGCTCCTTCTTCAGCATCCCAAGCTCCTCCTCCGACGAGCAAGCATCCACAACGAATACAAATGCGGGCCCGACCCCAACACCAGTCCCGGATCCAGCCCAGTCTGAGCTGGAGTACACAGACATACTCGAAAACGAGCTATTGTTCGTTCTCAACCCCATTGGCGCACTCGCACTCCTTCCAAGGCCCGGATCCAGGCCCGAGAACTGGCTCGTGCACAGATGATACTCGACGGTACTGTAAGTTGGGAACAGCTCCGCAGGGATATTGTTCTCGTTGATGTGCGTGTACGATTTTGGAAAGGAATTTTTCCGATGGCAGAAGGAGCACGACCAGATTTTGGAAGTGTAGTCGACGCGCGAGTAAGGGTTCAAAAGGGCGGTGCATCCAGAGCAAGTGAGGGGCTCGTAAGGGAGGACAGGAAGCTCATTGAACTCCATTAATGGAGTGTACATGACTGATAGTGGCACCACCAGAGATGAGACTTCATGCTTGGAAACGGGCCACGAGTGCCACGACCAGCGCAGGCCCTCGGTGGCTTCCAGTTCGGAGAAATCCATCTGGCGGCAAAACAATCGAGTGGATGACGGGACTGGAGTTGCTGATGAACCGTAATTGAGATCAAGGATGGGGTTCGTCTTGTTCCGAGTACCACATTTACACTTCCTTTCAGTTTGATAAATTTGAGGCCAAACTACATGACATTTTCAGAAAATTACATATATTTGGTAATCATACTGGTAAAATATCCGAACCAAATATTACCAGTATTCACATGGTCCACTATCCGCAGACAAAAAATATATTCAAGCATCAAAAGATCGAAGATAAGATTAAAACACAAAATTAGACATTACAATTAACCAAAAAAAAAAAAATTAGAGACCTGAATGAACCAATCAATGAACAAGCCGTTAAAATCCCACTAAGTGGAGTCAGCTATATGGATAACATGTCGCCATCGTGCTCGATCAAAACAGAGACCTGAATGAAGCATGCGAAATAAATAATAAGATACTCTGAGCTCACAAATCTCAAAAAATATTACTTGGAATATGAGATATGCAGCAGAAGCATTGCCAGCTTCTAAATCTGTTGTATCCTAGTTAAACATAAGGCACAATCGTTAACCAAATATTGGCTTTTTAGTGTTGAATAATACAGAGTTCTAACTACAGTGAGATATTAAAAGGCAAATTCTTTAAAGCATGAGAAACAACACAACACAAAAAAAGGAAAAATCTCTTTACAGATATTAAACCTCAAATAGGTATTAATAGCATTTTTATAAACAAAACACGGCGCCATGTGTTATCATTGATGATCTAGAGCCACTACAGTTTTTACTGCGAGTAAGTTCTCGCCTTGTCTGTTAGAAGAGTCACGTCGTGCAAGTTCTCGAC